CCAAGAGGGGGGGGAAGCAAATCATGACCGGCGGCATGTGCGCGGCCCAGGGGGGGGGAGGGGCAGGGACGTGATAAGACAAGAAGGGGCGCCATGAAATCTGGGGAGATATCGTGGACCACGCCATGATATCCCCCCCCCCCCTGGTCAGCACCCCCCTCTTTGCCGCCCCCGATGTGCAGCCCACCTGGAAGCCAGGCCAGGCAGGGTGTCATCCGTCTCAGCCTGCGCTCCCGTTGACCCCCCACATCCCCCTGGCAACCGCCGCGGTCATCTCAGTGGGTGCAATACACCCTGCGAAATGCTTAAGAAATCATGGGTTCAGAAATTCATAGTCTCAGAATTTGAATAAAAACCCAGAATTTCGATCGAAATCTTAGGATTCACATTGAATCATTAAGAGTAATCGAAACTCTGGCCGAAAACGCCAAGTTTTCTTAAGCATCGCCTAGGGTGTCTGCGCGGGGGCGGGGCGCCTCGGAATCGGCACGGCCTTGACGGTTGCGCATGTGGGCGGGGGGGGGATATGAGCGAGGGGGGGCGAAGAGATCCGGCCATGCGGCGTGTCGACAAACATCGGGACGGGAGGGTTCGCAGTTCTCGGCACCTCGGGGCCCTCACCGGGTCTCGGGATCGGGGTGACAAGCTGGTTCTGGGGAAGCGGTCGAGAGAGCGAGGGCCCGTGTCTCGAAAACATCGAGATGCTGGATGCCTGGGGATGTGAAGCATTCGTGCCCCTTTCGGGTCTCAGGACAGCCTTTAGGGCTGTAGGGCCCTAAAGTGCACCAGAGGTGCACTTGTCTTCACCCCTCCAGTTATCGCCACGCCATCACGCAATGCCCGAGGGCATGAACGCCTCCTGGCGCCGCGAACAACAGCACGACGGGCAATTCTCCAGGAGCTCTGCCTTCTGGGCAGTTCTTTGGCCCAGGGGCCAACAACGCATTCTTTTGCTTCGAGCGCGATGCGTTCCCGAGAGCGCGAGGCGGGATCCCCAGGCATCTCCGCGCCTCTTGGGGCCTGGCGGCCGCGGTGTGCAGTCGTCGTTGGTCGAAGACGCGAGGCGGGACACCCAGGGAGCACCAGGATCCTTGGGTGTCCCAAAACCGTGTGGTGACAGACCCGGCGGTGACCTCGAAATTCGCAAAGACCTCACCGCACGGTCCGTCACCACACGGTTTTGGGACCCTGGAGGCTCCAGTCGCCCGAGACATCCTCGGAGAACGACCCAAGTCCCAAAACCGTGTGGTGACCCCGAATCCCCACCGACTCACCACACGGTGTGGTCACCACCCCATTGGGGAGTCCCCGAGATCCGTTCGGGGCTGGGCGGCCGCCGTGTGCCGGGAGTGCGCGAGGCGGGCCCGGAGCCCCTTTTTTCTCCCAAGGGTGTGCCAACGCCTGCCTGCCGGCTGGTGGACCAGCAGGCCCGCGTCCCAAGTGTGAGGGCCCCGGGGCCCGACGGGGGCCCTCGGAGGTCGAAGCGAGCAAGGAGGAGGAGGGGGAGGAGGAGGAGGAGGAGGAGGAGGAGGAGGAGGAGGAGGAGGAGGAGGAGGAGGAGGGGGAGGAGGGGGAGGGGGAGAAGGAGGGGGAGGGGGAGGGGGAGGAGGAGGGGGAGGAGGAGGGGGAGGACAGCACGAGCGTCGCGATGGAAACCGGCGCGCCGCGATCGGATTCCAAACAGCGGCGTCGGGGGCCCGACCAGCCGCGACGAAGGCCTGGCCCCGGGGGCGGGGCGAGAGGCCCAGAGGGCCCCACGAGGCGGGGCCGTTGCGTCGGCGAAGGTGCTGGGACAGCGGGCGGGAGGCCCGCTGGGAGACGAGGGAGGGGGGGGCTCTGGACAAGCGCGCTCCACTACTCGCAGAGTAACTGTTCGCAGATGGCCTGGATCCGCCGCGGGGGACCTACGATCCACTGCTTGTAAGGGAAGACGCGTGTTTCTGTTCTAGCGCGTACGAGCAGGCACCTTGCGAGCAGTGGCACGCGCCCGGTGGGGCTCGAAAGAACGAGTTTTCTCTTTGCGGGAAACATGGTTGATCTGGTCTAGTCTGGCCGGTTCCCGCCCTCCGCTCAGAAGCGGGGGGAGGAAAAAGGGGGATGGATGGATGGGTAGCATAGGGCCCGCAAAGCCGTCCGAGGTCACGAGCGACGAGGCAGGGCGGGGGAAGAGAGGGAAGCATATGAGAGGGCGAGGGACGGGATACAGGAGGGCGAGGGGAAGGGAACAGTATTGAGGAAGGAGAAGCAGCATATCGAGCTGGACGTAGGAGGGCGGAAGATAAGCGATGATGCCTGGAAAGGGGAGAGAGAAAGAGAGAGAGAGAGATACAGGGATGTATATACATATATATATATATACATAGACAGAGAGGGAGAGAAAGAGCGAGAGCGAGAGCGAGAAGTAGAGAAGGAAAGTGAGACAAGAAAAGAGAGAGAGAGAGAGAGAGAAAGAGAAAGAGAGAGAGAGAAGGCATGCGGAGGATGTGGAGGAGGATGGGGAAGAAGCAGAAGGCAAGGTGATTTTGAGCATGAGGAGGAGGGGGAAGGTAAACACATTAGTAGGACGAGGAGAAGGAAGGCCGACCAGTATGTACCACTGCTCCCGCATGAGCGAATGCGACTGGAAGGGCGGGGGGGTCTGCAGCTGCAGCTTGCGAGGCTAGTGAATAATCCTGCCGTGAGCGCCGACGTCTTAACACATTGTGCAAAGAGCCCGCCGAGGGCGCCGATGTTTCGTCAGAGCAATGAGGACGTGGTGGAGGAGAAGGCAGAGGAGGGAGGGGGGCCGACGCAACGATCCCAGTCGATCTAAGTTTGCGTGACGTGGCAAAAGGAGGGAAGGAAACCCTCCCTCCCTTCCCTGAACGATGTGGAGGCGGAGACGGAGAGGGGATGAGGGCGAGAAGGCGGATGATCAGGAAGAAGGGCGTGGAGAGGAGGGACAGGAGCAAGGCCACGGCAATGAAGAGGAATTGGCGGATGAGGGGAAGATGGAGGAGGACGAGGAGGAGGCTGAGACCTGGAGTCTTCTAGAGCATGCTAAAAGCAAGTCAACTCCCCGTGACACTCCTCCTCATCCGCCGCATCCTCCTCCTGTACGACATTGTGGAGGCCGCATGTGCACTTCTACGAATGGTGGCGCATGTCCTTGTAGAATTGTGGCTCCCACCTGCTAGACACAAGATGACGGTCACAAGCAGAGTCGGGCGCACCATCTCGAAACGATTTGGGAAACTTGGGAATCAGTACGCCGCCGCGTTGGAGGTCGTGTGGATCGAAGCATGTTCGGGGCCGGGTATCACTCATTCCGAACTTCAGGGCCACATGACCAAAGCTCCGAAAAGCTTCCACGCCTTCGGATGTTCAGAAAGGCTGGCGCCATGGTTTCAAGATTTGCAGCACCAACTCTTCCATCCGCTTCGCAGTATGGGGTCGGAGTCTATGGAGCCCCTCCCCCTATTGTTGCGCGAATGAGAGACATCATGAGCACTTGGCACCCCCCAGGGGCTACTACCTCTTCATGACCTTCGTAATGCCTACAGGGATCTATGTTTGAAGACCCGCAGGTCGAAGGTTTGGTACAACTTGTATGTCATTGGGCGATACCGTGCCGAGATTGGCATCACGCATGTGGTGTTTCAACTAGAACGGCGCGTCAGATATTCCGAGTTCTTGAGGTGGAGCGCCCGTGGGAGAAGGTTGCTGGAACCACAAATGCAATGCTACTCTCACTTCGCGCGTTGGGTTGGCGGTCCGTGTCAGCCGTTGACGATATCACAGACCGAGGGTATCGTCTGGATTTCAGGACCGATGCTCTAGTTATCATTCGCAAATTGGCCAAGAGTGCTGGTGTCAGGACAAGGTGCTAACCCAGCTCATGAGGATATGGACCCCAAGGAGCCCCTCAGGTACTGGGTGGAACTTCTTCTTGAACTGCTTCAATTCAAGGTGCTTCTCGGAACGCTGAAGACTCGGAAAACGAGGAGGACCAATAAGGGCAACGTTAACAAATGGGAACCTACTATCTGCCGGCCTGATTCGGGATCTACTTGGAGGACTGTGGTCACCGTATATACTTGATGTACATGAATGCTCACGCACATCATGTTGTCCAACCTGCTCGTGCGACGTGTGCATACCCTGCCACATGCCATGAGAGTGTGATGGCAAAGTCAGTCAGCAGCTTGAGGCAATGGCTGAGGTTGACACTCGCGGCCTCTCAAGTCGATCACGTGGCTCCTGGTTTCCAGCGCCGAGGTATTGCATGCCGCCAGTACCGCGTCGAGATGACAGCCAGCGCTGGCAAACTGTACGGCAGTCTAGACATAGTCGCAGAACACGCCTACACCGACGGTGCTCGTAGGAAAGTACGGTACTTGCCTGAGGCTACTAGAGCTGGGCGTGTGTTAAAAGAAAAGCTTTTCGGGGGGGGGGACAACATTGTTTTTTTTTTTGTTCCTGGTGTGCTTATGTTCTTTTGCTTTTTGCTTTGGGGGCATAAGTAACCTTGCTTTTAAGCGTGGGCACCTGGAGCTCGCCGAAACAAACTCAGAAAAAAACAACGTTGAGTTTTTGTGTCAGGTGGTTTACCGTGTATGTGTGTGGATTTTTGCCCGAAGCTCCCCGAGAACAAAACTAACGAGTTTGGTTTTTTTTGTCGAATGCTTTCTCCCCGAATTCAAGCAAACAAAAAATAGAAAACATCAGCACGAATGCTTGAAAAACATTCGAATAGGGGGTTCCCGGGGGGTTCGGGGAACTGCCACACCCTAGTGATCCGTCGCCAGCGGCGGCGAGGTCTGGGTCTGGGTCAGGTGCAAGGACACGGGGCCCGTCAATAATGCACGCGCATTTAAGAAAGAGCGAAACTGGAACGTCCCATAACACGAGCATATAACAAAAGTGTAGCGCAAGTCATGAAATGAAACGTATTCTTACTCATCTCGAGGGTCCCGAGACCTACCACCTGATCTGGGGAGGGGTAACAAAAACAAGGGCGCTCCTCCTCCACATGTCCGTGACCTGGGCCTGCGCCAGTTGGTACTTCAGCCAGCGCCGCTCCTCGCCTTGGAGCGGTCCCGGGGGCAACCAATACCAACAACTTCGTCATCGTCATCCTTCTGCTCCTCCTTCTCGTCGTCCTCCCTCCTCCTGCTTCTCCTCCTTTTGCTCCCTCTTCCTTACTCCTTTCCCCTTCCACCCTCCACTTTCCACTCTCATCCACCCTCCACTGGCACACCCTGGACCTGGGTGCACTCCGGATTTGTTCGGGTGGTCTGAAGAAGGTTCGGAAGGGCTTCGAGGCGCATGGCATCTCAGTAGGCGGGCAAAAGGATAATGAGGAGCGGCAGGAGGAGCAGGAGAATGAACAGGAGGACGAGGAGGACCCGTACACCCCTACGTGCAAGCGCTGTAAGAAGATATTACGTCCTTACCATGTTTCAGGGCTCCCTTGGACCATCATGAGCTCGTTGAGGGCCAACTTTTTCCGCGCGACGTCGGATGCAGCTGATGATGCTTGCTCGCGCCAAGGGCCGATCTCAGGAACGTGCATATTGTCGGGCGCGTTGCCTTCGCATAGCAGGCGCCGAGCCACACACTACCGCTGCCCTCAGCTACGGGCCCCCAGACCTCCGATGTGCTGTCTTTGTTCGGCGCGGTCCCTGCAGGTCCTGGGCGAATTCCTCCAGTTATCTTCGTGTATTTTCATCATGTTGCCACTCGTCGAGGACGCGAGGCAGGAAACACAGAGATCACTGGGATACTTGGTGCCTGGAACCTGGGGCCCTTTTGGGATCGATCTGCTGCTCATGATGCCGCCGTCCGCCGAAGACGCGAGGCGCTGAGATCGCCGCTGTGGTTTGGTAGTACTTAGCATGCTTATATGTTGGTTAGCTAAGAGGAGGCTAAGTGGCTTGCGCTAACCTACTTATCTTAAACTCTCTATTCTGGTTAGCTCTATCCGCGCTAACCCACTTAGCTCGGTTGCGCTAACCTACTTAGATGTGGTTTGCTAACATGGTTGTTTGTTGTTGTTTAGTTTTGTTTGTTTTGCACGTATATTTTTTAGTTTAGCTATTTTTTTGCTAATGTTTTTTATGTTTTATGTTTATGGTGTGTGTTTTTGTTGTTTGTAGTTTAATTTTATGTTTGTTTATATTGTTTATAGAGTTGTTTTAGTTTTCTTTGACTTTTCATTCTTATTTTTCATGTTTGAACGTTTATTGTATCATGTGTTTCTTCCGTATACAAAAATCAAGTGGGATTCCGCTACAAGCCCCCCCCCCCACCAAGACTATCCCTCACCTAACCCGACTTGTTGCCTGTCGACACTGCGCGAAAATCCCAACAGAATTCTTCAAAATCAAAATAGAATCATACAAAATCCAAACATAATTCTTCAAGGTCCAAATGGAATCATATAAATTCCAAACCACAACATTCCAAGTGGAATGAAATTCCAGAAAATCCAAATGGAGTTTCACAACATCCAAATATAATCCCATAACATCCAGATAGCGAGCGAGCCACTCGAGCATGCCTGTCGGCTGCTCGGCCCTGTGCAGGGAATGGGTCTGATGTAAAATCCAAATGGAGTTTCACAAAATCCTAATAGAATTCCATAAAAAAAACAAATAGACTTCTACAACATTCCAAGTAGAATTCAACACAATCCAAGTGGAATGCCACACAATAAAGAATCCAAATGGAATTTCAAACAGAATTCCACAACATGCCGCGCCTCATACGCACACGACACGATGTAACATTCATCATAACCATAATCACCAACGCCGCAATCGCCACCGCCATTGCTGAGTTGTAGTGCGCGAGTGATAGCGGCAATACACATAATTATTTGAGGAACCCATCCCGTTAGGCCGAAAACATCACAACAGATCCCATAAAAAAGAACATCGCCTTTTTTTGTCAAGTCGCACTGAGAGAAAAAGAAGCAACATGCATTTTGCGAAGAAAAGTACATGGGCAGACAAACCGATGCGCACCTCAATCGAACAACGGGGGCATGGGTGGAGCACCTTATGGGGCCACGAACCGTGTGATGGGGTGTACCGAAAACGCGCGGAGAGCGGAGACGGGGGAGGAGGGAACAGGGAGCAGCGGGAGAAAGAGAGGAAGGAGTGACCTGGGGCGCTGTCTCTTCAAAAAGAAGGCCCAACTCTACAGCCTGGTTGGGATTGTCAGAAATACAACCATAAAGCCTGAACCGAATCCTGTTCGCCTTCTCCTCTTCGCCCCCTGGCACGCCGAAGCGTAAGAGAATGCCAAGTGCTGTCTGATTGGGTTTTCTGCAAAAGGGTTCTGTATTCTTCCGGTCCTTCTAGAGGCATTCCGCGTGCATCGCCCCTCCTCCCGAGGGTGTCTTGGCGGCCATGGCGCGTCTCTGGGGCTCTCCAAGGCGTCCAAGACGACCCAGGAAGGCCATCAAGGCAGCAAAGATCGCCAATATGGCCCAAGATGACTCCGAAATTGCCTTAGATGCCTCCAAAACGGCCCTAGTTGGCCTCAAGACGGCCCAAGAGGCTTTCAAGACAGCCCAAGAGGGCTCCAAGAGGACCCCTAGCAGGGCCCGAAAAGGCCAACCGAATTGGTTTCTGTAAGTTTCTTGTGTCAGGCTTCCGCATTCTCGCCTTTTCGGGCTGCCATCAGCTCAAGACGAAGCCTCCCAGATTGCCCCAAGGCGGCCAAAGAGGGCCCCCAAATGTCCAAAAAGCCTTCCAAGACTGCCTCAAGGCCAGACAAGAGGGGCCTTGGACGGCCCAGGATGGCCCAAAGAGATCCGTAAGCTGGCCCAAGAAGGCCTCGGGAAGGATCCAAGATCCAAGACGGCCTTAGAGAGCCCCTCGACGGCCCAATACGGTCCCAAGGCGGCTCCGCGAAGAGGCCTTCCAGACGGCCAAGAAGGCCCGAAGACGGCCCAAGAGAACCCCGAGACGGCCCAAGGGGCCCCCACGGAGTCCCCAAGACTGCCCTACAGGAGCACAATACAGCCCCAAGGCAGCCCAAATGACCTTCATGAGAGCTCTCCAAGAAGTGGATACTATAGGCGTCCCATGTGACACCATTCCTCTTCCTCCTGCTCCTCATCAAAGTCATTGTCGCCCTCGTCGCCGTCATCATCATGACCACCATCATCATTCGAACAGCTGCCACCCTGAAGGCTGGGCCAGCACGGTCGCGGGACTTGCCGCAGGCAGTTGGATCAGTATTGCTAGTACGAATACTGATAGCAAAAGTAACCCTATGTATTCCCAGTATCACACGTTCTAGCCGCAGTAATGGTAGTAGAAGTAGCTAGGAGTGGTAACTGATTATGTGCATCCTTGCTTGCAGTACTAGTTGCTTGTATGGCATCTTGCGTGCAGTAGTCCGTGCAGTAGTATGGGACGCGTAGGGTAGGCAGTAGTAGAACGGGAAGCCGAGTAGATCAGAGTAGGGTACAGTAGAGTAGAGTGGGCTGACATGCTGCAGACCAGGGGCTTCTCGCTCTATGCCTCTCTCCGCTCGGTTTCGAGGTCGGCGTGGCGCACAGGTCCCGCGCGGTCAGTCCGAGGCAGTCCGACGGCGGTTCGATGCGGCCCGAGGCGATGAGCGGAGCTGAGTAGGTGGATGGAGTGATACATACAAGGGGGTAGGAGGAGGTGGAGGAACGATGATTTCAGAATACCTCGAGCGATTGAGACGAGGATGATGAGGATGATGAGAGGGGGCAAGAATAAGGCGTGGCCCTCGGGGGCCGTCGGGGGCCCTCAGGACCCGTCCGTGCACGCGTTGCCCTTGCTTGCCCCGCATCGCTTCCCTCCCGTCGCCATCGCCATCATCAGCATCGCCCTCCTCGCCAGTCGTCTCGCCTTTCATTGCCGTGTTTACCCCACGTGTTGCATGTGCCCACTGGTTAGATGCAACAATGTTGCATGTGCCCACTGGCTAGATGCAACAACTGCCAGTTGTTGCATGTGCCCGCTGGCTAGATGCAACACTTGTCGCATGTGACCACTGGTCACATGCGACAAGTGTCGCATGTGACTGGCGAGGAGGGCGATGCTGATGATGGCGATGGCGACGGGAGGGAAGCCGTGCGTGGCAAGCAAGGGCAAAGCGTGCACGCACAGGCCCTGAGGGCCCCCGATGGCCCCCGAGGGCCTCGCCTTACTCTTACTCCTGCTGCTCATTCTTACGTAACGCCCCGCATTTGCGGATAAGAGTGAGGGGGCGGGCGGGCTGGCGCTGCGCCAGCGACCCACCCCCGCCGCGACCCACCCGCGACGCGAACCACCGCGACCCACCCGCGACCCACCCGCGCCGCGACCCACCCGCGACCCACCCGCGCCGCGACCCACCTGCGACCCACCCGCGCCGCGACCCACCCGCGCCGCGACCCACCCGCGACCCACCCGCGCCGCGACCCACCCGCGACCCACCCGCGCCGCGACCCACCCGCGACCCACCCGCGCCGCGACCCACCCGCGACCCACCCGCCCTGCGACCCACCCGCGACCCACCCGCGCCGCGACCCACCCGCGACCCACCCAGGACGACGCAACAAAACAACAACAAGAATCCGCGCCGCGGATCTCCACTTCAGCCACGCACCCAGGGACAATGAATGACCGTTCGGCCACCTCACTCTGATCATCCTCCTCATCATCCTCGTCTCCATCGCTCGGGTATCCTGAAATCATCGTTCCTCCACCTCCTACCCCCTTGTATGTATCACTCCATCCACCTACTCAGCTCCGCTCATCGCCTCGGGCCGCATCGAACCGCCGTCGGACTGCCTCGGACTGAACGCGCGGGACCTGTACGCCACGCCGACCTCGAAACCGAGCGGAGAGAGGCAGAGAGCGAGAAGCCCCTGGTCTACAGCATTTCAGTCCACTCTACTCTACTATACCCTACTCTGATCTTCTCGGCTCCCCGTTCTACTAATGTCTACCCTACGCGTCCCCTGCGACTACACCGACTACTGCACGCAAGAATCCATACGAATAGCTACTGCTGCAAGCACGGATGCACATAATCAGTTACCACTCCTAGCTACTTCTGCTACCGTTACTGCGACTAGAATGTGTGATACTAGGGATAGATTGGGTTACTTCTGCTACTAGTGATCGTACTAGCACTAATTGTCCAACTGCCTGCGGCAAGTCCCGCCACCGTGCTGGCCCAGCCTTCTGGGTGGCAGTTTTTCGAATGATGATGGTGGTCATGATGATGATGACGATGACGGCGACGAAAGCGACAATGACGATGATGAGGAGCAGGAGGAAGAGGAATGGTGTCACATGGGACGCCTCTAGTATCCACTTCTTGGAGAGCTCTCGTGAAGCTCATTTGTGCTGTCTTGGGGCTGTATTGTGCTCCTGTAGGACAGCCTTGGGGACTCCTTGGGGCCCTTTAGGGCCGTCTTGGAGCCCCTTTGGGCCGTCTGGAAGGCCTCTTGGGGCGTCGCGGGGCCGCCTTGGGACCGTATTGGGCCGTCGAGGGGCTTTTCTCTAAGGCCGTCTTGGATCTCGGATCCCTCCGGAGGCCTTCTTGGGCCAGCTTGGGGATCTATTGAAGCCATCCTGGACCGTCCAAGGCCCCTCGTCTTGGGGCAATCTTGGAAGCTTGGGCTTGAGCTGATGGCAGCCCGAAAAGGCCTCTTGGGCCGTCTTGAGGCCAACTTGTGCCGTTTTGGAGGCATCTTCGGCAATTTCGGTGTCATCTTAGGCCGTCTTGGGCATCTTGGCTGCCTTGGTGGCCTTCATGGGCCGTCTTGGACGCCTTGGAGAGCCCCGGGGAACCGCCATGGCCGCCTAGAGACCCTCGGGAGCGATGCACGCGGAACTCCTATAGAAGGATTGGAATAATAAGTCTTTTACAGAAAACCTTACCAGACAGCACTTGGCATTGTCCCACGCCTCGAAGTGCCAGGGGCGAAGAGGATTGGGTTCCGGCTTTAGGGTCGTATGTGTTAGGCATTGTGTAGATCTGACGTTCCCAACCAGGCTGTAGAGTTGGGCTTTCTCTTTGAAGTGACAGCGCCCCGCGTCACTCATTATTCTATTTCTGCCGCTGCCCCCTCTTCCCTCCTCCTTCCCCGTCTCTGCTCTCCGCGCGTTTTCGGTACACCCCATCACGCGCTTCGTGGCCCCATAAGGAGCTCCACCCAAGGCCCCATGCGAACACCGCCACTGTAGTGGTGGCGCTCGCATGCGTCCGCGCCGCCCATTTTGGCACGCCCCTCACACGCTTCGTGGTCCCATACGGAGCTCCACCCATGCCACCGTTGTTCGATTGAGGTGCGCATCGGTTTGTCTGCCCATGTATGTTACTTCACACAATGCATGGTTTTCTTTGTTGCTCAACGCGACTTGCCAAACACGCGATTGTTTATTTATACGCGTTGTTGTAATGTGTTCGGCATCAAGGGATGGATTCCTCAAACAATTACGCGTCTTGCTGCCATCACTCGCGCATTACAATTGAGCAATGGCGGTGGTGATGGCAGTGTTGGTGATGTTGATTATGATGAATGTTACATCGTACCATGTGCGTCTGAGGCGCGGCAATTTGTGGAATTCTATTTGGATGTTGTGGAATTCCGCTTGGATGTTGTAGAATTCTAGTTGGATTTTGTATAATTGCATTCGATTTGGTGTTTGTGGAATTCGATTTGGATTTTGCGGAATTCTTTTTTTGTTTTTCGTTTTAATTCTACTTGGATGTTCTCGAATTCGGTCATTTTGTTGAGTTCCATTCGGATGTTGTGGAATTTCATTTGGGTTTCGTGTAATTTCTAGTTGGATGTTGTGGAATTCGATCTGGATTGTTTGGAATATCAATCGGATTTTGTGGAATTCCATTTGGATGTTGTGAACTTCCATTCGAATGTTGTGGAATTCTATTTGAATTTCTTGGCCTGAGCTGATGCTAAGTAGGTTAGCTAAGTAGGTTAGCTAACCTACTTAGCTACTGGTTCTACCCTACTTAGCTAACCATGCTAACCTAGTTAGCTGACCGTGCGAAGTGCTTACACAAGTTAACGCTAAGTAACTTAGTAAGTGCTCTATGTGATCATGAAGTGCTCTATCTGGTTCACTGGACTTATAATTGGTTCACTGGACTTATAAGTTGGTTACAACCAACTTATACGTTACTTATAACCGAAATACGAATCGCGCTAACCGAACCTAAACCGCGGCGGCGATCGCAGCGGGACACCCAGCGACCACGGTGACGCTTGGGGCCCCGCGGCCGGGGTGTGCAGCGCGGGCGAGGCGGGCCGGGAACTCCTTTCTGATCAGGGCCGAACCGCCCCGACCAGTCGGGTGGGGACCCCTCTGGGCCCCCACCTGTAGTGCAGAGCCCGTGCAAGGACATATGACCAGACCTTTGTGGGCCCCGGAAACGGCAAAGCCGTTTTTCACCGTTCCCCAAAAAATGTCCCTTGAATAAAAAAACGGCAAAAAAACGGCGACCGGAAACGGCAACAGAAACGGCTCCAGGATTGGAACCGGAGCCGGAACCGGTCAAAAAACGGCGACGGAACTCGTAAAAACAACGGCGTCGGAACCGGCAAAAAAGGCAAAGCGGAGCCGGTACTCCAGATTTCGTAATAAAAGGGAGGGGGTCTGGACCCTCCAAGACAAGCCATTTCAGACCCCCCCCGTGGGAGAACCCTCCAAAACATCGTCCCCAGACCCCCCCAGGCCCTCCAAGATAGCCTGGAAGAGACCCCCCCGAAATGAGACCCCCCTCCCTTTTATTACGAAATCTGGAGTAACAAAAACGGCGCTGTCGTTTCCAGGGCCCACTGAGGCCCAGACCTGCGGCACCGTGGGCTGCGCGGCGCGGGCCCCGGAGCCGTCGAGCCTCGCCCCCGGGACCGCTCACTCTGCCACGGGCCGATGGGCCGAAGGCCCCGGGGACCGACGGCGCCCCAGTGGTCCAGAGACAGGGGAGCGCCCTTTTTGGTGTGTGTGTGTGCGTGTGCGTGTGCGTGTGCGTGTGCGTGTGCGTGTGCGTGTGCGTGTGCGTGTGTGCGTGTGTGCGTGTGTGCGTGTGTGCGTGTGTGCGTGTGTGCGTGTGTGCGTGTGTGTGTGTGCGTGTGTGCGTGTGTGCGTGCGTGCGTGTGCGTGTGCGTGTGCGTGTGCGTGTGCGTGTGCGTGTGCGTGTGCGTGTGCGTGAACGTGTGCGTGTGTGTGTGTGTGTGTGTGTGTGTGTGTGTGTGTGTGTGTGTGTGTGTGTGTGTGTGCGTGCGCCTTCCCCGCTGTACTTGAGGCTGGTGTCCGCGACGCGCCGCTGACGTCTACACCATCTCCTCCACCTTCCGGGTCTTCGCCCCCGGCCCCGTCCACGGCGTACCTTCTCCTGTGCAAGCTCTTCGGCACCGCCTGCACCCCGGGCTCCACCTGCTCCGGCCGCCTGAGGCCCCGCCTTCCTGCGCCCTGTCTCCCTTATTAAAGCTGCGCGTAGCCCGCCTAGCTTTTAGCGGGAGAGGTTCGCTCTCGCCCCGCCGGCCAAACAAAAAGTGTGTGCGTGCGTGCGTGCGTGTGCGTGTGCGTGTGCGTGTGCGTGTGCGTGTGCGTGTGCGTGTGCGTGTGCGTGTGCGTGTGCGTGTGGGTGTGCGTGTGCGTGGACGTGTGCGTGTGCGTGTGCGTGTGCGTGTGCGTGTGCGTGTCTGTGAACGTGAACGTGTGCGTGTGCGTGTGCGTGTGCGTGCGTGTGTGTGTGTGTGTGTGTTCCGGGGCACCGCAAAAGTCTGGGCAGCACACCTGCTCACTGGGCCCCCTGAGGCCGCCCTTTTGGTGTGTGTGTGTGGGCGTGCGTGTGCGAGTGCGTGTGCGTGTGCGTGTGCGAGTGTGTGTGCGTGTGCGTGAACGTGAACGTGT